CCAACCGGCCCCGCCAATCGGCCCCAGCGGCGGCGGCCCCGGCGGCCGAGCCTCCTCCACCGCCCCCGCCCCGCCCCTCCACCGGGGCTCCGGCCTCCCCGTCAGGCGGGAGAGGGGCTGCGGCGGGGGGAGGAGGCGCGAATGGCCTTGGCCGAGGCGGAGGCGTCGGGCCGGTGGCGGTGTGCCTGCGCAGCGCCCGGTTGCACAGAATCACGGAGTCAATTAGGTTGGAAAAGACCTCTGAGATCCAGTCCAGATTATCACCTCACACCGCCATGTCAACCAGACCATGGCACCAAGTGCCACGTCCAGTCTTTCCCTAAACACCTCCGGGGGTGGTGACTCCAACACCTCCCTGGGAAGCCCATTCCAATGTCTCCTCACCCTTCCTGTGAAGAAATTCTTCCTAATGTCCAACCTAAACCTCCCCTGGCGCAGCTTAAGACCATGTCCTCTCGTCCTGGGAGAAGAGGCCGACCCCCACCTGGCTACGGCGTCCTTTAGCTGTCGGCAGGTGGAAGCTCCATTGCGGGGACAGCCGGGCTGTGCCTGCAGCTGCTGCCCCTGGGCTGCTCAAGAGGCCTGGGGAAACAGCGGTGACGTCTTTACGGAAAAATATATCTATAGATTCAAGACACTCTTGCGTGCGCTGCTCAGAGGTGGCCGCTTCTACGAGAAAAGCCCTGCTGCCTTCTTAAGTGACCCGTGTCCAAGTGGGCGCATAAAGAGATCATTTGCTTTGTGGTGTTCTCCTACTGACACAGTCTTTGACCTTTGACGCAATTTGGCAAATTAGATGGCTCTTATTACAAAAGCCTTTGAAACACGCTGTCCCTTCCACCCTGTACTGCCCGCTGGGGACCAGAGTACTTGAAAACAGACACCTGAAGAGAAAAAAGAGAGCCAGTGCAGTTTCCATAGGAGCTTAAGGAGCTATCAAGTTTATCCCAGATATTTGTGAGGTAAGAAAGCTTTTGTTTTGTTGAAGCAAGGGTTTTGGTTTGTTTGTTTTTACTTCAAGAGCATTATCTCCTCTAACTTTTCTTTGTGATTAACATGACTGTGTAAAAAGCCCTTTAAGACATGATACTGGACAAATAGGTTTACAAACTGACAATTTCAATTTCCCAACCAGGGACTTCACAAAGGCACCAATATTTCAGGAAACCAAGTTCTTTGGTCTCCTGACTATGGCTACAGATTCTTAAGAACTTGGACCTATGTATCTATATTGAGTGCTGTTATTAGGTGGCAATCCTTAACCTGTCCAAGCTGCCACTAATATTAGCATCCACTGCAATGTCACCTTTGCTGTGTTCTGAAAGAAGCTTGATGTCAGCTGTCTCCCTTCTGTATTCAGCAGGGGACAGCTCAGCAGTCCTATTGCCTACTGCACGATGTGCCTTGACTGCAAAACCCATCAACTTCTGGCCAGAGAAGCAGGAATAAAACTCCTCAGAGCTCTCACTGTACAAGTCTACTTGTAGATGAAGAGTTTAGGTAAGCAGGGAGCACCTGCCAGATTGTTCTGGTTTCCAGTTGTGTGATGTCTCACTCAGCATTTAGAATGAAATTTGACCTTGTGAATCTTTTGGGGATGGCAACACTGTCGTCTGTCACTGCAGGTTGTTTTTCCCTGGTTCCCATTTTTCTCTGATGAGACGGAGGAAAAACAGTGCTCCATGGAAACCAGCTCTCCTGGCATTGGACAAAGAGCAGCAGATCTCCCGAGCAGAAATGACCCAGGCAGAAGTGTATCCAGACTAGCACAGTGATTTATTAAGAACAAAACCAGCACATTACCTGTAAAACAGGTATTGGTATTTACAGAGTGGCATCAGCAGGAGCTTCCAAGAAGTGTCAGGGGTGTATATGATATGGAGGCACAAGTGCTGGGAGACAATTTCTGCCCCATATAGTTTGCAGTGAAAGGCCAGCTTGGAAATTATAAATGTTCATGTGGAGCCTTTGTGTGCAGTGGAACTACCCTTATATTTACAGGGTTTTGGAAGGCAAGTGGGAGGCAGCTGAAGTGGCAGCAGCGTGGAATTTGAGGTGGCTGGAGAAAGGAGGCAGCAAGTGGAAGAATAGCTTTGTGAGAAGGCAGCAGGCTTGAAGACAAGGCCAGGGCACAACAGCAAGAATATGCAGAGGAACAGGTTGGGGCATGGGGCAAGGGGATGGGCTACAGTGCAGCACTTGGTACTTTGGGGGGCCTCTAGCAGCACTCAGAGGGAGGCAAAAAAAATCAGAAACCAGAAGGGCAGGAACTTGTGCTGTGCAACATTTGTTTTTGACTGCAAACAGTTAATTTGGACTTTTTCCTTGCTTCTTTTTTTTTTTTTTCCTAAAGGATGAGTTAAGTTTTCTAGATTTCAGCTCCCCTCATAAGGAATTTCTGCTCCTGAAAGATTATCTCCCTTGTTCTTTTCTGTCTTCCTGCCTCTGGTTTTGCTTCTTCGTCATGTTCCTGACCTTTCCCTCCCCTGCCACCTATTCTACTTTATTTTGTTCTCCTGTCCCTTCATGATTTGCACATATTTTTCTGTGATTATTTCTCTCCTGCTACCTCTCTTCCCTTTTTCGCTCATCCTTCTTTCCTGTGTGCTTCCATCATCAGATTCTAAAACCTTAATCAACTGTCTCGAGTGACTGGAAAACAAACCAAACTACTGTGGGTCAGGGCAGGTCATTTGCCCAAGTGCTAGCAAGCTGTCCTGCCCAGCATTGTAACTGAACACACAGCAGCTAGGATTCTTGGGTGGGTGGAAAACAAATGTCCATTTTAATCTCCATGTATTAGATCTCAGATCAAGCTATAAATGCAGAACAAGCTGGGTCTGAACACTGTGCTCTTCTTATCAGCACGTGCTCTGCAGCTCTGCAATGCCTGACATTACAAGTGGGAGAACTTTTACAACTTTCTGTCCTCATAAGTGAAGAATTTTGCCTTATGGCACATTTCTAGCTAATTATCTCTCTAGCAGATCTGAAGAGACCAGAAAACATCCTGTGGCTGCGGTGAAGGGAAGCAGCCACTATCTTAACACTGACTTTCAAAAAACTGGCAGCAGCTGTGATTTCTCACAGCACTTTTCAGAGGCAGCCCTACAAAGTCAGGTGAGCTACTGTGGGAAAGGTGTGCATGGATGCTGTTGTGTGCTGAGAAACTCTGCAGGCTCTACCTGTTGCTGTCACCAGCTGGCCTGGCTCTCTCTGTTCGGGTGCCATGGAGCTATCAGTGAGGTCCCTGTCTGCTTTGCTGGCACCCTTATCCCAGCTTTGGTGGAGCAGCCATGCTTTTCCTTACTGACAGACACTGCACACAGACCTCGGGGTGTGGGTGAAAAGCAGCTTTCTTCTTCCTGGGAAATGTGCTTTTTGGCACTCTTGCTGGGTACTGTCCTTGCATAAACAATCATAGTGTTAACATTGAAACATGACTAAGCAAGCTGGTAGGTGTTCTGATTAGAAACAAGAAATAGAAAAGCAAACCCCTATGGGTTTTGGCACTGTTCAAATGATGTGCAATGCCTAATTCTCCAACTCATGCTCAGTACTTTTACAGGTGATGTGACATCCCTTCTGTGCTTAGACTTGAGGACATGGTAATCTTTTTTCCTCTGGTTATCTTACTCAACAAGTTTCTGTCTCATTTGGGACTTATGACTCACACAGAGACAAGACATTCTGAAACAAAAGGGTGATGGTGTAACTTGAGCACAATCACAGGAGTACCCAGAACAAACTGCTGGCTCTAAGCCAGTTCTGATTCCTAGGAAGGACGGGAGTCAAAAGTACATCTGTTCCCAGAGGATTCGTCGGATGACATGGCTTGTTTCTGTCCCGGTGAAGACGGAAAATAAACTCCTATACCTAAACACTGTATATTTTCTGGGAAGATCAGACCAAGAGCATGCCTAGAGGATTGGCTGTTGTCATTAAAACCAAAGTCAGGTTTCTGTCCTTGATGATCTCAGGAGTGGTGGGTTGACCTTGGCTGGTCCAGCTCACAAAGCCACTCTGTCACTCGCCCTCCTCAGCGAGCAGTGCCAGCACTGCTCAGCAGCAGCCAAAACACTGTTGTGTTTTAAACACCACTCCAGCTACAAATAAAAAGCACAGCACTATGAGGGCTACTACGAGGGAAGTTAACTAACATACCATTAAAATACACTGTGTTTTCTGAAAGTAAAAGAATATGATTGAATTGTTTATCCTGACACTTTAAATGGCTTTTGAGTATTCAGCAGTTTATTTGGAAACAGAAAAAAAAGTTTTTGCTGAGCTTTTAGTGCCTCTAGTGAAGAATATGTCCTCTTAAATGCCGGGAAAAGTGAGTTAGAACAGGATGTTCCTAGCCCTTCACGTTGTGCCTTTGGCATTCTCCACTTACAGCACGTTAGCTGTGCAAATTGCATTTGTCCTTGAACTTTTTCAGCCTAAATGATTCTATGACTCTTTAGGGAAGTATAAGTTAGAAGTTGTGATACTTTAAAATATTAGGATGTCAGACATGATAACTTTGTATTAGGAATATGTAGTTGAAAAATCTGATCCTTGGAATGGCTGTGCTGTAGCACAGCTGATTTTGTTTCAGTGACATAACTTCAGTTTTACAAAGATAATACCCCATATCAGAGTTCCGTCATCTGTCTGCTGAGAAGAACCACGTGGATATTTCTGTCTTAATGGTTAAAGAATATTCCTAATGATCTTTGAAGAGCTGTTGTGGTTTGACAGCAGGAAACTGTTCTGGCTTTTGAATATGTAGCAAATATTTTAAAGCAGGCTTTTAAGTGGTTTCCTTAGCAACCACTCTCCTTTAGAGATCAACGCATGCTAATAAGTATCCTGCTGGATTCGGATTAGCTTTGCAATATTAAAGGCTCTCGTTTAAGGTGCTGCCAGGTCATGCACAGTTCCTTGCTGTCCAACTGCCCTGAAGCACAGAGGGAAGCTCTCTCTGCCTGCCAGACTTTTCTCCAGACAGGCAAGGACACCACCTCTTGGTGGTGATCTCCTATAGGCGTCGTGATGGGTGGAGAAGCTGACTGTGCTCACTACTGACTGCTCTCTCATCCAGCAGCCCCGGGGAATGGAGGGCTTTATTTCTTATTCATCTACCCTCCACTCCCACACCCCAAGAAAATGCTAGTGACTTGTGATTCCTTTCTAAAAGAGATATCAAGCACAGCTCTTAACTGAGCTTTTATTTTGGTCTTATATTTCAAGTGTCTGGGGCATCGCATAATTTATCTTTCAATCCCATATTCCATATTTATGATCAGTAGGAATGTAAAGCCATTAATGGTGGAGAATCTGAGAGGTGTCTTAATATAAAGAAGCACCATCTTCTGCTCTCCTCCAAGGGTTTAGACTTGGATTGCCATCCCTATTTGCTATGAACATCTGGGATTTAAGGCAGCTTTAGCAGAACTGACCTAAGAATCTTAAAGAAAACAAATGCTGCTCATGGCAAATGTGTTTAACAGTGATCCTAATGGAGGGCATTTGCCTGATGTTTGTTCCCAGCCCTGTGAGAGCCTGATCAGATGCCTCAGCTGGGGTCCCTGGGGGC